GATTATAGTCGTTGTATCAGCGAATTTATGTTTTGTATTATGTTTTTATACCTCGTAATATTGTTATGATGTGATATACAAGATTTGTACGTAAAACTTTATCATAGATCAATTTCATGGTTTGCCCCGAGCATTGTCTTCTATTTTAATTTGATCCCTAAATTTTTATTTGTCCCATTCCGATCTCTTAAATATCAATTTTTGTTACAATTAAGTCATTTTGTCCATTTTTACCGTCAAATCAATCATGACATTTCCGTCGTTAGATCAATGTTGACATGGATTAAATAGGGCTAGTTTTTAGTTGATCTAACGATAAAAATTGATAAAATGACTTAATTGAGACGAAATTGATAATTAAGTGATTAAATGAAAATATTTGAAAGTTTATACACTAAATTAACACTTAAAAGTTATTACTTAATTTTGAAAGTTGTAACTTTCGATATGGATCTTAACATTTTATAACTTAATTTTAAAAAATTTATAAATTTCGATTCCGTAGCATTGGAGGATTTTGATTGTCCTGTATCCCTAAATTCTATTATTTTTGTGGGTGTTTTTATAATTTTTATAAATTGTTTCATAACTTATTTTGATACAAATTTTTTTATCACATAATCTTTACTTTGCCTAACACACACCCATGCGCAAAATAGGGGAAATTTCACTTTAAACAGCAAAAAATTTAAAATTTTCTACTTTNTTATAAATTTTGATTCCGCAGCATTGGAGGATTTTGATTGTCCTGTATCCCTAAATTCTATTATTTTTGTGGGTGTTTTTATAATTTTTATAAATTGTTTCATAACTTATTTTGATACAAATTTTTTTATCACATAATCTTTACTTTGCCTAACACACACCCATGCGCAAAATAGGGGAAATTTCACTTTAAACAGCAAAAAATTTAAAATTTTCTACTTTATACCTACAGACTTCAAAGCCTTGCTTACCTAACACATACACACTCACAATAGGGGGGAATTTTACTTTGAACTCTAATTGTTTTTTATTTTTTTATTTTATACCCTCAAAAATGAATTTATTCATTCTTAATGTATTAAAAATATTATAATATAACCTCCTGTTGCTTATTTTGTCAAAACTCACCCTATTGATATTGACAAAATGAGTAACGAAAATTAAAAGGCCAAATTATAATACTTTTAATACATTAAAGGTATAATATAAAAATTTTAATCTTTGAGAGTATAAAATAAAAATTATTCAATCTTTATGGGTATAAAATATANCTCACCCTATTGATATTGACAAAATGAGTAACGAAAATGAAAAGGCCAAATTATAATACTTTTAATACATTAAAGGTATAATATAAAAAATTTAATCTTTGAGAGTATAAAATAAAAATTATTCAATCTTTATGGGTATAAAATATAATTCACCCAAAAGAAGGGTAACGTAGTTAAAATGTCAGAAGGTGTTTCAACGCTGACGGTTAGGTCCCAAATTTTCAAAACCCCACCGCCTAAGCATTGTATAGAGAGAGAGAGAGAGAGAGAGAGAGAGAGTGAAGAGAGAGACTATGGTATGGTTGTTAGGTCCCCTCTCTGGAATACTGCATCTCTCCTTTACAGCTTAGGGTTCAACATCGGTTGACGCATTCGATTTCATTCTCAGACTGTTGATCATATAATCAACAAATTGATCATGTGGCGTACTTTCTGGCGATCCATTGATCGGTTCTCACTTCAGCACTTCAAGTAAGTTATTTATCTAGTTGATTTAACACTCTAGTTTGATTTGAGTCATCTATTTCAACATTCATAAATTAGGGTTTGTATTATCTGAGTTTTGTTCCACCTGAATTGGAATTTCTTTGGGATAAGGGATTGTAACATGATGTTCAGCATTGGTAATGTCGAACCAACTTGGGGCCGATGGAGACAGTAACTTGCGAAAAAAGTAAGTGTAGGCATATGAGAGGAATTCACCTATAAACCCATTAGACGCTTACCCTTTAACACAATGGAAGGGGAAACAAATGAGTAAATACACTTGGATTCCACTTCATTTTAGATAGAATGCCGAAAGTTCAAACTATTAAGTAGAGGGGCAACGACGGATTGAAAAAGCCCTCTCTGAATTTTGAAAAAGTCTTTAGTGTGACATGTCTAAATGTGTGCCTCTGTAAGAATGTGGAGAAACAATGCTATACATATAATGCCATTTTGTCAGCGTTCCAGAGATGATCTATGTTATTAGTTTTTCAAAATGGTTGGACTGTCCTGCTGAACTCACTATGGATATTATCTGGAAAACATAAATTATATGCTGAAAGATTGCCAATTGTCCTCATATGTCTAATATTTTGAAGAATGACATTGAAAATGAACAGCACAGGACTTAGCATAAGATAAAAGTTCTATGTTCTTCCCCAACATAGAAAGCCAGAAGGGATGGAAGTAGAGGAGCAAGTGGAACAAATATTTACAAAGATGTAGCCATGCCTAATTAGTGGAACAAGTGCCAAACAATGACTACACTGAACTCATATAGTTGTGCATGCATAAAATTGAAGTTCTGTAACTGCTAGAAGAAAGAGGGCAATATGTCCCATGGTTAAGGTACCAGAGGGAGGGACTGATAATAAGTGCTGTTTGCAGTGCAAGGGTTGCTAGTGTTGCACTTAAATTGCTTTTGAGTCAAATTAATAGAGATTGTGCATGGATAATGTTTTTTGCTGGGCCGGTTGAGGAACAAAATGGTTTACTGNGAATTAATAGGGATTGTGCATGGATAATGTTTTTTGCTGGGCCGGTTGAGGAACAAAATGCTTTACTGAATATGAATTGAAACTGGTCAATTCTCCATTAAGATTCTCTCTGCCAGGCNAAATTAATAGAGATTGTGCATGGATAATGTTTTTTGCTGGGCCGGTTGAGGAACAAAATGGTTTACTGAATATGAATTGAAACTGGTCAATTCTCCATTAAGATTCTCTCTGCCAGGCCTCCAACAGTTTTGGGCAGTAAAGCCCATGTATCCCAAAACTGGACTTTTCTTAGCTACAACATCTGCAATGATCATAGCAGGGTTTATTGCAGGTCTCACACAACCAGAAGGATCATTGCTTCAGCCATTGTAAAAACCTCATCTAATGTGATCCCTCGGCGAATGCAAATAAGACCAGAATCTTTCCAAAGACAGAAGCATCTGGATGCTCGACTTCTCTCTTTCTACTGTTACTGCATCAACCCTAGGTCTTTTTAGGGAGGATGACCACAATCCTTGTTTTCTTGGACTTATAACCAGGTTCTGTAATGCTCTAAATAATACACATTCTTACAGNAGATGTCCATTTGGTGTTGACCACAATCCTTTTTTTCTTGGACTTATAACCAGGTTCTGTAATGCTCTAAATAATACACATTCTTACAGCATATGCTAACCAAAATCAGAAGGATTACCGAATTTCCTTCGTCTTCCAATAAAACGGCGCCATTGCTTAATATGGGTCCCTGTAAGTGCAACTTGAATAGATGATAATATAGTGAGTCACTAAAATCCTGGTTCCAGTCAGAGATTAGGACTTAAGCAGATTTTGCCACTTCACCGGTGGTATAGGAAATTGAATCCTGCCTAAGGCACAGAGTGGTAATGTTCTGGATATTAAATATCAAATTCAGTGTTCTTTCAATGAGACAAGTAAAGACTATGATCTTCAAATATAATAGGATTTAACTTACATAGCCTCAGACTCACAAAGAGCATGTATTATGATTCTTTTAGAGGCATCCTTTGTTAAAATTTGTTCCTAAACATTTTAATATCTCCTAATTTTGTTGGAATTACCCGAAGGATCAGGATTGAACTAGAACTATTATATAGGGTAGGGATAAGAAAACAATGTCAAACCAAAAGACTTTTTGTTATTGAAATTTCCAGATAGCTGTCTTGTATTAGTTGTTTACTGCAATGCCATAAACTTCCTACTGAAGTAAACATTTTAGTCCTTTTTTTTTAATGAACACGCACAAGGCAATGCATAAAAATTTTGAACATACTTTACCCAATGTGTTAGTCCATTAGACAATAAAGTATTATATTGGGTGGTGCCATGTCTGTTTAGCATGGTGGGCATAGTTGTCAAATTGCGTGTATCTTATGATACACGATAATATAGCATTTCATTAATATTCAACAAATTATTCAAGTTTCCAACATAATTCAGTAATATCAAAATACAAAAACCTCTATTTCAAACTTCTAACATCAAATGCTTGAACAACTTTAATATTAATCAGGAATTTTGAACTCAATTGAATAACCTTAACAACATACTTTATTTTATTTTTTTTTAACTACAACCATTAAAACGACGTTGTTTCACTGGCTAGTGATTTAAAAATAAGTTTTAGGGTAAAACGATGTCATTTCAGCCCAAAAAATTAAAAAAAAATAAAAATAAAGATTCTTCACGTATTGTACATATTGTAAAAAACGATACAGAGACACGATACGTATAGTTTTTCAGGTTCGTGACATATTGTACGATACTAATAACTATAATGGTGGGTAATGCCATAAACTTGCTACTGAAGTAAACATGTTATACCATTAGACTAAGAAAATATCTTTGGTGGTGCCAAGTCTTTGTAGCATGGTGGTGAAAGTCCTCGCTGGCATCAAAAGAAAAGGCTCATTTCTTACAATACTAGAAAAATAAATTAAATTTCTTGTAAACTAGCCAATGATCCTCCAACATAAAGTGGAAAAATGTGTGTAAAGACTGTCCCTTGCCTACTATTTCTTTGATTTTGATTTCAACGTAAATTTCTTGATGTAAAGTTGATAATGGTTTCAACATATATTAAATAAGATTGCAGCCAATGATTATTTGGTTAAACAAGCATAATTGATATAGCTCATTCAATTATTTGCTTGCAAAAGTACTATTTACTCATCTGATTTTTCAACAATGAGAGCTAACCTTATGCATTTGGTTATATAGATACGTTGTTAACGAATTGCAGATGATCAAGGTTGTGGACAAGCAGAACAGGGTACTGGACTTTGTGACATTCTTATTTATTATCATGATGCATTCTATGAGTTCTATCAGTCTGTCATCTCATATTTCTTCTTCTTCGCCATCAGGAATTAGTTATAGACTTGTTCCAATCTATTGTGGAGATAGTCACCTATGGCGACAGACATGATCCATCAATTTTCGAGTATGAAATCTTGCACCAAAACCTCTTTTTGATTCGAATTTCTCTATATCTTGATGACTTAGTTATACAGTTTGTTTTTTTGTTTATTTTGCAGATGTTTCATGGAATATCAAGTTTTGGCAGAGTTTGTTCGTGTGTTGAAGATCAGTAGAAATGCAAGAATTGAGGCCCCATTGCTCCAGTATCTGAGCATAATGATTCAGAACATGGAGGGTGAACATGCAATTTGTAAGGCAGTTGAATGTTAGATAATAAGGAAGCTTCTTAAATTTTTGAGTTCCATGATCTGTCTCTTCCCTCAAGAAAATGGGGATGGGTTGCTACAGTATTTTAGCATTATACTCCCCCCCCCCCCCCCCCCCACCCCGGGGAGGGGCGGGGGTCCCATTTAAGGAGGCCCTTCATCCATTTGGGGATGCCCCAGAATACATGCCCACTTTTGAATTCAAAGTGTTGAAAAAGTTTGAGGTTCCTAATATACCCTTCCCTTTTCATGATACAAGACTGAATGACAACATGATGACACAATGTGACTGGAGAAAATAATGCTTTCAAAAAATAAGGGGAACAAAGAGTAATAATGTAATATGCTAAGTTCCTTGCAGGCTCATGTTCTTCTGTTTGTGTGTGTGTGTGGCTGCCTTTGTCACCTGTCTTTGGTAAAGGACAAAAATATAATGTACTGAAGACCTTGCATTTTGGTTTCACTGTCGCTTCCTGACGCGATAATTTGCATATGCCCACTTGAATGACTATATGTTTTTCTTTTTTGGATATTTGTGGGTGGGGGTTGGGGCTGTGGGAAGCATTCGTCATGCAAGATACAGGCCACTGTCTACTTGAGGAATGGTTCTATATCATTTTTCTTTGGTTTTTGTTTGTACGCAATCTTTTTGTTTGCTTAGTTCTTTGAGTGCTGCTTATGCATACTTTGATATGTTTATCTGTTTGCTGCAGACTACTGCTTAAGCAATGACTATATCAACAGCATTATAACACATCAGTTCGAACTTGATGGGGGAGATCTAGCTCCTTATTATGTGTCTTTTTTAAGGTTGTGGTACTATCATTCCCCTTCCTCTGTGTTTCTGGCAATTATATGACTGTAGTTGTTGTCAATGATAGTTTATTTTACCTAGTGTCTCACTGTCTCTGTCAATTTGATTGATGTTTTGGAGCTGTTTATAATTTCACTCTTTCGTTTTTAAATCAGAGCAGTAAGCGGCAAAATAACTAGAGGCACACTCTGTCTTCTTGTGAAGGTCCATGAGGTAAATTAGAGCTTTTGAATGTAGGATATGTTGTCAATATCCTCATGCTCTACTTTTAACTACTACAGTGTGTAGTGTGAATATAAAAACCATAGGTGTAATGCTGGATGACACAGTCAAACATATCTTTCGAGTATTGTTATTATCTTGATACATGAGGNGCATAAAAATTTTGAACATACTTTACCCAATGTGTTAGTCCATTAGACAATAAAGTATTATATTGGGTGGTGCCATGTCTGTTTAGCATGGTGGGCATAGTTGTCAAATTGCGTGTATCTTATGATACACGATNAAAGCGTCTCAGAAAGGTTTTGAAATGGTTTGTAAATATTTTGGAAGCATTCCAGGAAACACAATCAAAATGGAAACAAAAAATTTAGAAATTTGTTTCCTAAACATTTTGAAATATTGGTCGAAACACCTCGAAACATNACATAAAAATTTTGAACATACTTTACCCAATGTGTTAGTCCATTAGACAGTAAAGTATTATATTGGGTGGTGCCAAGTCTGTTTAGCATGGTGGGCATAGTTGTCAAATTGCGTGTATCTTATGATACACGATAATATAGCATTTCATTAATATTCAACAAATTATTCAAGTTTCCAACATAATTCAGTAATATCAAAATACAAAAACCTCTATTTCAAACTTCTAACATCAAATGCTTGAACAACTTTAATATTAATCAGGAATTTTGAACTCAATTGAATAACCTTAACAACATACTTTATTTTATTTTTTTTTAACTACAACCATTAAAACGACGTTGTTTCACTGGCTAGTGATTTAAAAATAAGTTTTAGGGTAAAACGATGTCATTTCAGCCCAAAAAATTAAAAAAAAATAAAAATAAAGATTCTTCACGTATTGNGGAATTTTGAACTCAATTGAATAACCTTAACAACATACTTTATTTTATTTTTTTAAACTACAACCATTAAAACGACGTTGTTTCACTGGCTAGTGATTTAAAAATAAGTTTTAGGGTAAAACGATGTCATTTCAGCCCAAAAAATTAAAAAAAAATAAAAATAAAGATTCTTCACGTATTGTACATATTGTAAAAAACGATACAGAGACACGATACGTATAGTTTTTCAGGTTCGTGACATATTGTACGATACTAATAACTATAATGGTGGGTAATGCCATAAACTTGCTACTGAAGTAAACATGTTATACCATTAGACTAAGAAAATATCTTTGGTGGTGCCNTGTATTGTACATATTGTAAAAAACGATACAGAGACACGATACGTATAGTTTTTCAGGTTCATGACATATTGTACGATACTAATAACTATAATGGTGGGTAATGCCATAAACTTGCTACTGAAGTAAACATGTTATACCATTAGACTAAGAAAATATCTTTGGTGGTGCCAAGTCTTTGTAGCATGGTGGTGAAAGTCCTCGCTGGCATCAAAAGAAAAGGCTCATTTCTTACAATACTAGAAAAATAAATTAAATTTCTTGTAAACTAGCCAATGATCCTCCAACATAAAGTGGAAAAATGTGTGTAAAGACTGTCCCTTGCCTACTATTTCTTTGATTTTGATTTCAACGTAAATTTCTTGATGTAAAGTTGATAATGGTTTCAACATATATTAAATAAGATTGCAGCCAATGATTATTTGGTTAAACAAGCATAATTGATATAGCTCATTCAATTATTTGCTTGCAAAAGTACTATTTACTCATCTGATTTTTCAACAATGAGAGCTAACCTTATGCATTTGGTTATATAGATACGTTGTTAACGAATTGCAGATGATCAAGGTTGTGGACAAGCAGAACAGGGTACTGGACTTTGTGACATTCTTATTTATTATCATGATGCATTCTATGAGTTCTATCAGTCTGTCATCTCATATTTCTTCTTCTTCGCCATCAGGAATTAGTTATAGACTTGTTCCAATCTATTGTGGAGATAGTCACCTATGGCGACAGACATGATCCATCAATTTTCGAGTATGAAATCTTGCACCAAAACCTCTTTTTGATTCGAATTTCTCTATATCTTGATGACTTAGTTATACAGTTTGTTTTTTTGTTTATTTTGCAGATGTTTCATGGAATATCAAGTTTTGGCAGAGTTTGTTCGTGTGTTGAAGATCAGTAGAAATGCAAGAATTGAGGCCCCATTGCTCCAGTATCTGAGCATAATGATTCAGAACATGGAGGGTGAACATGCAATTTGTAAGGCAGTTGAATGTTAGATAATAAGGAAGCTTCTTAAATTTTTGAGTTCCATGATCTGTCTCTTCCCTCAAGAAAATGGGGATGGGTTGCTACAGTATTTTAGCATTATACTCCCCCCCCCCCCCCCCCCCCCCCCGGGGAGGGGCGGGGGTCCCATTTAAGGAGGCCCTTCATCCATTTGGGGATGCCCCAGAATACATGCCCACTTTTGAATTCAAAGTGTTGAAAAAGTTTGAGGTTCCTAATATACCCTTCCCTTTTCATGATACAAGACTGAATGACAACATGATGACACAATGTGACTGGAGAAAATAATGCTTTCAAAAAATAAGGGGAACAAAGAGTAATAATGTAATATGCTAAGTTCCTTGCAGGCTCATGTTCTTCTGTTTGTGTGTGTGTGTGGCTGCCTTTGTCACCTGTCTTTGGTAAAGGACAAAAATATAATGTACTGAAGACCTTGCATTTTGGTTTCACTGTCGCTTCCTGACGCGATAATTTGCATATGCCCACTTGAATGACTATATGTTTTTCTTTTTTGGATATTTGTGGGTGGGGGTTGGGGCTGTGGGAAGCATTCGTCATGCAAGATACAGGCCACTGTCTACTTGAGGAATGGTTCTATATCATTTTTCTTTGGTTTTTGTTTGTACGCAATCTTTTTGTTTGCTTAGTTCTTTGAGTGCTGCTTATGCATACTTTGATATGTTTATCTGTTTGCTGCAGACTACTGCTTAAGCAATGACTATATCAACAGCATTATAACACATCAGTTCGAACTTGATGGGGGAGATCTAGCTCCTTATTATGTGTCTTTTTTAAGGTTGTGGTACTATCATTCCCCTTCCTCTGTGTTTCTGGCAATTATATGACTGTAGTTGTTGTCAATGATAGTTTATTTTACCTAGTGTCTCACTGTCTCTGTCAATTTGATTGATGTTTTGGAGCTGTTTATAATTTCACTCTTTCGTTTTTAAATCAGAGCAGTAAGCGGCAAAATAACTAGAGGCACACTCTGTCTTCTTGTGAAGGTCCATGAGGTAAATTAGAGCTTTTGAATGTAGGATATGTTGTCAATATCCTCATGCTCTACTTTTAACTACTACAGTGTGTAGTGTGAATATAAAAACCATAGGTGTAATGCTGGATGACACAGTCAAACATATCTTTCGAGTATTGTTATTATCTTGATACATGAGGCAAATATCCGAATATCTCCAATCCGAGCTCTAACCTAGGAAGTGGAAGCGTCTCAGAAAGGTTTTGAAATGGTTTGTAAATATTTTGGAAGCATTCCAGGAAACACAATCAAAATGGAAACAAAATATTTAGAAATTTGTTTCCTAAACATTTTGAAATATTGGTCGAAACACCTCGAAACATTCCGAAAACTTCAAAACACCTTGAAACATAGGAATTTCAATATTCAATCATTGATTCGTTTCGATTTCTATGGAAACGGGAACGTTTCGACTGTTTCGAAATGAAATTTTGGTCTTTATGTCTATGAATTTAATTGTCACCATTATATGGGTTTGAGTTGTGGAGAATGGGGGATATCATACTAAACATAGGCCTTTATGGTCGATGCACTTTTAAAGCATGTGTTTCTCCTTAGTATTCTCTTTTAGATATGTTGTATCATTTCGTCAATTTTTTTCACAAATAACTTCTGTGGTTGGACTTAGCTTCTCTTTATGAATGTCCATTACAAAGTATACAAGAAATACTAAAGTATAATTATTAAGAAACTAAAAATCTATATCTTAGATGCACGTTTCTCATTTTACAAGAGATGCTATTAGAACCTTGATTACACTTATTGTGGATCTGTACTCTATAGTTATATAACACTGGAACATTCTTTTGTTATCCCCTATTGCCTTAATGCAACACTTGCATTTGGTCCCATCAGTCAAGCCTTGAAAACATGAGGGTGTTACAGTGGTCTCTTGATCTTTGGACAAATCAGGAACAGTCGCAGAAAAGGTAAAAGAAAGACAATCTTAGAGGTGTTCAGATGCCCTTTCTTCATATTCATGTTATGCCAGTCCATCTGACAATATTGACGTCAGTTCCTTGCGTCGGGTCTACTAAACTGTTTGGGATTTTGGGTGTTAGATCCATGAGAACAACTGTTTGATGTGTTCTGTGCATGTGGTTCCGAGTTGTGATTGAGAGATTAAATCATTTTCAATTGATAATATTGAGGCATTGCGATGACATGCCTATGCTTCATAACATACTTGGATAACTGCTTCTATGCATTTGGCATCAACTTTGCAAGAAGAGGGATATTTGGATTGTAAAGCTTGATAGTAATGTATATTTGGGCATGTATTGGTTTTAAGGATGCTTTAACTTCTTCTGCTTCATCGAATTCAATGAGTAAATGACTTGAAGTGCTTATTATCACAGATACCGGATCGTAGATACCCCTACCGTCCCATGAACCAGGATCGCACCATCCATAATGGGTTGGGTTTGTGATCTAGATCGCTTAAATTCCCGACTCCAAATTGCAACTCAAACCCCAAAATAGATACTAGTTAATTATGTGTATATGAATGTATAACTATATATAATCTCATATAATAGAGAAAGCGATCCAATAGAAAACAAACCACGGCCCAAAATAGCGTACTAATTAAACCTACCCCATTGTACTACATATCGGAAGATGTACTGTACCATGTATCCGTACCTATACCACATCCCTAATCGTCCCAAGATCCAGGTAACATTGCCTATTATTATAGTAGAAGTGCAGAACTGCATGATTTATGGGAATCAGGACATACTGGAGTACAAAACAAAAGATGTGTTACTATTAATGAGAGTCTTCCGATATGTGGCATGTGCCTGTCTTATATGACTGTTTTGTATTGCCAGAGGCTTGGGACTCAGTTCAGATCTATTTGTTTATGTATCTTATATATCATGGCAACAGGATGTTGTGGTCTCATTCCCACTGTACACAGAAGCCCTTAAATTTGCTCATCATGGGGAAAAGATGATCCAGATAGCCGTGCGTGCAATAACACTCAACATATTCAATGGTGCTACTATGGTCATTCAGATTCCTCTCATGTAGAAAAAATATAGGAAAACTACGTATTTTCTTACAACGGTATTCTTTTGGCTATGCAGTTAGTGATGACATGGTCTATCAGTTTATGACAACTCCTCCAGTTTCGGAGTATTTCTCAGGCTTGGTTCTGAACTTAAGAACACAATGCTTCCACCTAGATGCTGTTGTCCATGCTACAGAGTATGTATCTTTCACTTTATTATTAAATATTAAATAAATGTCATTTAGGCAAGTTATATTCCGGTGATCATAGGGATTAGCAACTTTCTTTCTAGTTAATTGGTTGGTTTTGATGCAGGAACACTTATAAGGGAAGAAGAGAAGAACTTCTTCTGGAAACTGATAAAATTGTAGATGATCTTTATTACTTTAAGGACATATATTCTGTTGGCGAGCTTCACTTGAGCAAAACTCTTACTGGGGATCTTGTCAGCATGTTGGTCTTTCCCATATTGCTTCCATTAGTGCACTTAAGCCAGAGTAGTGTGAGATATTCTTCATCTGAACTTCTGTAATCTTATTGTATTTGCATGATCATTCAACTTTGAAATATATGTTTTCATTGTTTGGTTTGATTATACCACTTTTTAGATTTCTTTAGGGGCAGTTATAGGATGATGGTGCGTCTCTATATCCCTGTGAAGGGGTCTTGACCCAAACCTTCAAGTTCAAAGAAATTCTGTACAATATTTGTTTTCAGGATTACGTTTTCCTAGACTACGTACAGTACAACTGTCACTCTAACTATGTGTTTTTGCCCCCTAAGTTTTAAGCAGCCATATACACAAATACTAACTTCGCTGATGGCGGCCAAAATGTTTTCTACCCTAGGCATGCATTTTCCAGACCTCAGGTTTATCATCTCTCTTTGCTCCATATTTACTTTCCTATTCTTTTTATGCAACTAGGGTTTAGGGTATTATTTTGCCCCAAATTGAGCATAAGATATACTGATCTGGTTTTGGGTGGTTCCTGTCCATCATATGAAAATGAATTGCCTTACATCTAAACAAAACCCTCTTAAGAGTTATCACCCCAGTGATTGCACAGGTTAAATGTGGAACAGCTTGCTAGTATATACAAGAATCAAGTAATTAAAATAATTATGACACATTTCATTTCCTCTTATAGGGCACACAACTCTCTGCAATCACATCTCTTTTTGTAGTTTCTCGTCTTCTTCAAGTTCTTGAGGGAACCAATATGGCTAACTTTGTGGCTAGTGCTATTCTATGTTTCCACATGTCTTCGAGCATAGAAGATGTCAACAATTTGCACAACTTGGAAGAAATGGTATGCCCTGAGCCTGAGGGTGATGAAAACTTCAAAAGGAGCAATATTCCTGGGCATTTATCTGATTTCCTTGCATCTAGCTCTCATATTCTCAGTTTCCTTCCTGATGATATTAATAAAGAAAGGTTGGTGACTTTTCCTTTTTTGCTGCTATACTTTTTTCTTGAGTTCAACAAATTGTCAGAGACTATGGAAAAAATGATGTTTTGGCGTTCCCAGCAATCTAATTGTATTGCTGTAACATGATTTTGTATTCATGATTGTTAGTAGTTCCCCTTACAGCCGAGGCTGTGAAAGAGGTGATGGCAACGTAGGACTTGTAGGGGAAGAAACGAACAGTCTGACTGTCCATCAAGCCAAAAGACCTGACCAACAGTTGAGTAAGCCCATGTACGATGGCTCTCTAAAGCGTAATTTCTCGTTAGTCAATAGGGAAATTTGGAATTTTGTGGTTATATTTTTATTTAAGTTTCAATTTTTTTGTCTATATTATTGAGCAAGCTTGTTTTAGGGAACTGTATGCTAAATTTATCAGCAAGTTAAGGTTCATTTTTTCTTTTCTTTCCCTAGAAGTAGATAGTTACTTCAACAAGTTTCCATAGAGGGTTAGTGGAAATGAATGTTAAAGGTTTAACTAGATTCAGCTCCTCATGTTTTTGATACTGGAAGCTGTATATAATGTTGATGAAAAACCCATGCTCATGTTGAAAATGTTGCCATATTGTTGTCATCTCCATCTCAATATGAACTTTTAGTGTTGTTAGTACCTAAGGGCAAGCCTGGGTGGTTGATTTCAATGGATTCCCCTCTCTTTCTACAAATTTTGATATTTTCTCTTCCATTTTAGGAATCATATTTTTGAACTTGTTTCCTATGGGATAGCTTAGTTTTATTATAGGTAAGGATAAGTAGAAAATAAGGAGATTTGACCTCAACATCAATGTTGAGAGACATCTGAAGAATTCTGGGCTACCCTTCCATTGTGGCATTGCCAAATATACTAAAATTGTTTCCTTACTTTTTTAAATTCTATAATTGGTGGTGTCCATTCCCCCTGTCCCCCTACCCTCCAATACTCTAGCAACTAAGATCTGCGTATCTAAAATATCTGACTCAGTTACTGTTGGTTTATTTTTATGGAGTTTAGTTTGTATATGTGATCCGGATGATGACCTGACCCGAAATAATGTTGTGTGGTTTTTAATGGAAAATTTTCTGAGGCTTAGTCCATGGAGCGAAGGCTTGGGCCGATAGGACATATAAACCCTGTTGTTTTGGTGATTAGGGTTAATTGTGGATGGTACAGCCGCTCTCTGTATTCAACTCTCTCAATAGTGAAATCCCTGCAGCTTCGTGGACGTAGGCAAATTGCCGAACCACGTAAAATCTGTATCTTGTTCTTTCTTGTTTCTTATTGCTTTATATTCTTGATTTGTTCTTCGATTGTGTGTGTTTGTTAGTGGATTTAAATCGTGAGAAATCCCAACAACT